AAATGCTCTCAAGGGGGACAGCGGTCACGGAACGATCGCAGGATTCAGGAGGAATGTTACACGGCCCTGGGGGTTTCTATGGGATCCTATGAAGTATGGAAAACATACAGCAGAATATTTGAGACTCAATGAAGAGACTGAAACTTAAAGCTGTCTTGATTAAGTCCGAGGAAGGAAAAGGGCAGGAAAGGCCAATGTGATTAAGGAAGGATATAAAGATTAGTATGAGGAGACTAAGAGGGAGGCTTAAAATTATATAAACAGTGATTTAGAGATATAAACTATTTATAAAATACAAGTAGTAAGAAGTTCAGAGAATAATTACAAAAGAGGAAGCCTCGCGATCAGGCATTAGTGACCGTGCTCCACGCCACTGTGGTCCGATGGCTCTGAGAGCAGAGCATGCGAGGGCGCTGCAGTTGGAAGGAAGCTCAGAGAAAGAGGAGCCCAGCCTCTTTCTGTAGGTCCAGGAGTGCAGGAAGAAAGGCACTCACCCTCAGTCTGCTCTCCCTGTATCCTCTGACCTCAGCTCCCACCAGCTCCCATCAGTCAGAGGAAGGAACAAAAGGGAGCCGGGTGGAGGGAGGATTAGAGCCTTAGAGGTCAGAAGGATCAGGACGGGAGGGACGGCTGGCTTCTACCAGAGCAGGCACAGATGCAGGCCGGAGCGGGGGATCCAGTTTCCTGCTTCGGGAGGGGAAGTACGAGAAGGCAGTGAGAACAGCTCTGAGAGAAAAGGGGGACAGTCTGAGGACAAAAGACCAGCCCGGTGAACACATTGAGGGCTTTTCACCCCAAATACACAGAGACAGGGCTGAGGGAAGCTCTAACTGGTATTTATACGAGTCCTCTAACGACAGATCAGATTCCTGAGGTCTGGAAAGTGTTACATATCATTATGCTAAACAGGGCTATGAGATAGAGCAAGCAATTATAGGCCATTTAACTTAACATCATTTACAGAAAAATATTAGGAAAAGTTTGCAGGGGGTGAGGAGGACAACTCGACAAGCATATGGTAATTTGATTAGAAACAGGCCACATGTTTTTACTGGAGGAAGGTGTTTTAACTAGCTTGTTGGGCTTCTTTGAAGTTATTGTTGTCTTGCTCTAGATTTTAACCACGATTTCTTTCTAATATCCATAAAAATTAGGAATAAATATATCTAAGTAAATAAAGCAAAAGCCAATCACAACTGAGGACATTGGAAATAAAATGAGAAGAAAAATGAATGTTAAAGACAAAGAGTATAGCAAGAAAAAAAACTTAGTAAATATTAGCTAGTAGAGTTTAAGCTATTTTTCATGAAAAATACTTGATTTTGATCAGTGAATGTGTCCCCATACCATTTCCTAAAATGCTCTGCATTAAAAAAAGTGGGCTTTTTGTTTGTTTCACTGAAAAAAAAATCTTAGTGTTTTTTTTTTTGTTCTTTTTTAGTGGATTGACCATTTGATGCGGTTAAACATTTGGCACGTTACGATGAATAATTAATTAATCCTTCCTTCGTGAATTTTCCAAGTTAAAAATTCTCAAAAATACATCTTTGTGCTTATTTTACATTAAGTAATAGGTCAATATCAATTTCTCATATTTACGCGATATTTCTGTACATTGAATAGCTATTGAACCTTCAGAAAGAGGATTAGAGAGAATAAAAACCAACATAAAACAAACATAAAAAAAATCACATTACATATTAATGTTCACTAGAGGCCCGGATCATCCCTTGTTTTCAGTTTGACTGGTTACTGTGCACAATTCACTGACGGCGCCATTCTACTTCTCCAAAGGTGCTGCATTCCAGCAGCTCGTATCACCTCTACATTTCCAATCTCCACGAGGGTGGAGACTGTCTGTCTTGTTCATCATTGTATTCTCAGGGTTTAGCAGTGTTTGATAAATATTTAGTGAATTATTAAGCCCATTTTTAAAGATGACGCAACAAAGGCACTGAGAAGTTAAGTAACTTGCCTAAGGTCACACAGCTAGTAACTGATAGGTTTTGAACTCAGGCAGTCCGGCCCATGCCCCCATGTTTAAGCATAATACCACTTCCTCCTTCTCCTGGAATGAACGCACAGGGCAATACATCTGCGCATCATGTATGCACGTACAGAAAGCCATGCGCAAGGCGGGAGTCTTCACGGGCACACAATTCAAGTACTGATACCGTCATCACTAAACACGGAATGGAATTCAGGAGCAAAGGGAAATTTAAAGTCTAATTTCCAGGATTAAACTCTCTGCAGTAGCAAAACTCCACAGGTAGAGTGCCAAAAAATGTAGCTCGATTCAGCTCTAATTGGATGCTGGAGTCCTTAGTCCTGAAGAAAAATTTTCAAGACTTTTCATGTTGATCCAGAAGCACTATTTAAGGTTTTGTGGTGGCCATATCGAGGAAAACAAATTCTAGGTGCATGTGGAACTACGTTCCCTGTGGAATCACTGGTGGCCTCTTTCAGGCGAAGACCTGCCTTTGCTGAGCCAACGGCCTTTCTAAGACCAGCCTGAGTGTTATTCGAAACACAATATAAAGCTCTATTTTCCTTTAGCCTTGCTTTAGATATCGATGTTCTGAAACCTGACTTTATTTTTACTTTTACTTTTATTTTCCAAATTTTCTTTTTGGTATTTTTTTTTCCTGTTAGTCATTCTGGAACCATTTGACTCTAAGATTTAGAGTTTTTGGCTTCAAGTGTCCCTATGTGCTGCAGATCTTGTGGGACGGATGGCCAAAGCTGCTCAGGAGAATGCGCTTTTCTGAAATCCTAGAAATCCCACGGAATTCTATGGACTGAGAAGAAGCCTCTGGCAGGCTGGACTGACGCCGAGAAGGGAAGGATGCAGTTTAGGTGCGGGAGAATGCCACACCCACCCCGCGCCGAGGGCCGGCAAACCTTGGAGAAGCTCTGTGCCTTTCGGGACTCGCACAAAACGGCTCTCTAGATGCTACCGGCTGCTAGGACCCCGCACCCCATAAAGCTCGTTTACAATGTAGTCTCCAGTTCCGGTCACCTTGCAGCTGGAAGAATATTCTCACCCCTCAGGCAACTCGACAGAAGACTGTCGAGTTGATCCAAGTTTTGGGAAAACTTGTTGCTCTGAGGAATGAGGTTAAAAGTTTAGTCTCACTATACAAGGAAAGCCTGCCCAGTGGAATATTAAGCCGAAGTGGAGTGAACAAAATTAATGCAGCCTAGAGGCTCAGAAAGATGAAATCCAGTTCAAGTCCAAAATCAGACAGTAAAGGGAGTCCCAGGGGAGAGCGTGATCGGCGGAAAAACAAAGCAAGCATATGAAATCAGACACGGCTCTCACATTCAAGCAATGCTGGTGTCCACGAGCCGCGGCACAGGTACGATGACAGCATCTGAACGAACAAAAGAAACGGGAGGGACGCAGCGTCGGCGGCAGGAAAGGGGTCGATAAGGATTCAAGCACAGTCTTGTTAGTCCGAGGGTCCTTTTCCTGTTCAGCGAATTCTTTTGTTCTGTGTCCTTATCAATCCCACACCTTGCCTAAGTAAGAATGACAGACAAGCCATTCTTAATGACTTCCTAGCTTTTGAAACTATTTTGGTGTTGGAGAGGGAAAGAGCCACATTTTAGTTGTCGGAAGAACTAAGGTTTCTGTAGGCTTAGTACATTTTCCACTCTGAGAGGACCCTTTTTGCTTGGGAGCACAGAAGTGCATTGCCCATAGAAGTGATCTGTGCAATGTTCCAGAAAAATGACACCCCTGTGGCACCTCGTTTCAGCCACGGAAACAAATGGTGGCACGGCCGGGGGCTCCTGAGGCAGCCCCTGCTGTGTCAGCAGCAGCCGCTGGCATCTTCCTCCCCCAGGGCCAGCGCACATCCTCTCCTGGGCACACCCACTCCCCCTAAGCGCCGGGAACAATTGCTGGCTGTGTCGGAGCCCCGGCCACGCCCTGCGCGGGGACAATGCGCAGCCCCGCAGCCCTACGTCTCCCCAGCACTGGTTACTTCCTTTCCTTTTTATTTCCTCCTGTGTGTAAGAGTGCACAAAACACATTATTTTCTTCTGTTTGAAACAAGACATTTTCAAGGGTGGTTAATGATGACCTATTCACTTTCAATCTCTCTTCGCTGGGGGTTTCCTAATCTCTGAAAGATTGTACCACAGATAAGAATTTGGTTCGGGACACGGGGAAAACAGGTTCAAAAGGATTCTGTTTTCACAGTTACTGTGCACTTCATTAGGTAACCACCATGTTTGAACATTTCTCCTTAAAGATAATGCTTTCTATTATTTTTAGGTATATTTAATTTGTTGAGTTTTGTCACCATAGTGAGGGTGGACCACATTAAAGTAATAACACCAAGGAGGCGGTTATATTCTAACAATCTATAGGTCATTTTTGAACACAGGAACTTCTGTACTTAGAAATTCATCCATCTATCTACTAATCGGTCAATATTATTAAGCATCTACTGTGTTATAGTCTAAGATATTTTTAAAAGGCCCCTATTCTCAAACAGCTCATAGTTTGGTAATGGTAGAAAGACACATGGCGATTATAACAAATTGTAATAGGTATTATAATAGAATTATGTAGAGCATACAATATGGATATAAGCAAGGACGAGACATTTCAGTGGCAGTGGCATATTGGCCAAGGAAGGGTTCTTGGACACGGTGGTTCCTGAGCTGAGTCTTAAAAAATCAGGAGAGACCCTTTCTGGCTCGGGTGTGTGTGTGAGCGTGCAGTCATGAATGGGGGACGTGTGGGCACAGGCAGAGCTGGCCAGGTGGCGGGCCTTCCAGATCCCAGGGATCCCGCGGGTCTGCAAGGCGTTATAAGTCAGACATCCTGTGGGTATTAGGGACCAGGCATCAGAACAAGAGACTAATGTGATGAGATCCGCCTATGATACGAATCTCCATTTCTGAAATCACCAATTTCCTTGGGTGTGTTTTACCATTGTTTTCCTTTACAGAGCAATGAATTTTGTGGTGAGAATAGTATCTCAAATCTAATTCACTGTGTTCTGGTTTGGGAAATGCCAGCTGAAGGATGCCAGAGAGCCAAACAGAGAACTTCGCAGGCTGCAGCGGGCACCCCTGATAGCATTTCCCAGCCAGCCGGCCAGCTGCGGCCGCGCGGGCCGCCAGGGCGTCCTTACCACTTCGGTCGGTCGGTAGTATTTGAGATCCACAGTCACGTGAATTTTGCCGGTCTCTTTACATCTGCCCACTTCATTTTCATTCTTTCCTTCCCACCTGTAAAGAGGATAAACAGCTAATCAGCTCCTAATTGCCTGGGAGCGTTTGGCCAGGCTGCAGCACCCCAGGGCGGCTCCGCCTGCTCCCGCAGAAGCGAGCTCGCTCCTTAACTAGGGCAGCGCGGCTGACAGGTGAGACTTCCACAGCCTCTCTAGACCTGTTTTGGGAGGGGAGGGTTCTTTCCCCTGTCTTTTTAAGAAAATCATGATGAATTCAGAAGTGAGACATTAGAAATGAACAGATTAGCCAGTAAAAGGAATTGGGCAACTTTCAGAGATTTCACCGATTTTGCATTTCTTTAGACTATTCTTGATAGAGACAATTATTGTAAATTAATCAATGTCTTTTGTCCTTCCCCTTTTTCTTCCTTTTGTAGTTTTAGGGGTATTTAGTGTTAATTCAATGCATTCCATTTGGGAATAAGTTTCCTGCCCTAATTAACCACTCAATTCATCCCTAGATTGCATACACGTTCCCTTGTTCTCCCCAGTCAGGGTGGGCCTAATTAATACATCTCAGATGATGAAACCTCCAAAAAGTACACAACTAATTGTTCATATCCTGCCAAGGGAGGCGTATCAGCATCTCTCTAGCATAACCCCTGTGACTTAGCTAATATGTTAAGGAAACTTGCGTTTCCCGCCTGAACATCCGCAGGTGCCGTCAGCGAGGGTACCAGGAGCGACTCCGCACGTTGCCACGGTGCAGGACGCGCTCCTGCGCCTTGAGACCGGCTGCTCGCTAGACTCCACCTCTCCATTCCATGTTCTCATTGTTTACAAATCAAGCCACTGGCTTAATGTTGGCCTCTGGATCTCTACAATCTAATATCCAAACGATAGCCTATACCATATAACTGGAAGTATTTATTTTTACAAATGAAATCTTTAGGCAAAGAAAGAAATTAAAAAGTATGACTTATGTTTGACTTCAATGCTACCCTTAGAAGGACTTTGCTTTATCAGCTGGAGACAAATCCTACGAACACAGGACAATTCTGTGTGCTCCCTGGATCACAGTCACCATGGGGGACAAAGGGAAGAACAGAATACTAAACTGGTTTCTTAACTATGTAAGTCACAAGTGCCACTGAAGATGAACATTAAATGTTGATCACAGTTATATTTTGGAACAGGTTGAGAGACATAAACTTGCCTCACAAGTTTATTTCTGATTAATCATCTGAATGTTCTGTCAAATCACTTCTTTGTAGCAAAGGCAACTATTTCCCTGCTGGAGGAATAATTAGTTTATTAGTGTGCTGAATTTGTCAGTGGACTGACTCAAGGCAAATATGAGAAATGTCCCATGACACAGAGATTATAGCAGCATATCTCAAACAATATAAAACTGTACAACTGGTCATTTTCCCAGGCTTTTATATTAATTAATTAACTTAAAAAGGAGTGTTTGTTAATTTAATTATTTGGTTCAACTTCTTTCTTAGTGTTGATTAGATCAGTTCGACAGATCATGTAGGTCTGAGAATTTCAAAGCAAAGTGACTGGTCGTATCAGAGCTAAATTTCTGGAAAATTCACCTGAAAATGATATGTGAATTTTTAGAGCATAGAGATCGAAAACATTTTACAATGAGATAACCTAAAGTAATGATGATCCTTGTACACCATTATGGACAGAGACCATAATGAACAAAGACCAAATGTTGGCTAATACGGCTAACATCCACAGCAAAGGAGGATAATTGGTTAAGTCATGATTTAAAAAAAATTACAAATCTAATAATTCTAAAGTTAATTGTTTAAGTAGAACTTTTCTTTGGTTAGGCTTTCAGTGAGTGAAAGGATATTTGTATTTCTTGAGCATGTTTTAACTTTATTTTTGTTCACATTTCATACTTCACAAAGAGAAACAAGCTCAGCAGATAACTTCACGACGGTATCTCCACCTAAGCCAAAGGGCGAACGGGAGCACTATTTATAACTGGCTGACTGGTTTCTCCATTTGTAGTAGGTATTTAGTCCACGACGGGCCATGCTGACTGATGTGCACAAATATATTCTACTGTCCTTCGTATTGGTAAATCTCCTCAGATGCCACAGACTTGGGACCTGGTGATTCAAATCTATTTATAATCCAGTTTTTAAAAAATCACACTCAAACACACACGTTTAAATTGATAATGCCTTGGTAAAGACTTGGAGAGATTTCCCTTTGTGGGAGGGAGCTCGTGGGAAAGGAATGAGGCCGTGCCAGTGGGGTCTTTGGACTCTAGTGGGGTCTGCAGACTTTCTGCGAAGAGCCAGGCAGTAAATATTTCACGCTTGACAGCTCACATGCAGTCTCTGTTATATACATCCTTCCTTCTTCATCATTGTTGTCATCTTCTTTTTTCTTAACTTTTAAACTGTAAAACCCATCTTTACCTCTAGGACAGTAAAAAAACAGGCCTCAGCTGGGATCTGGCCTGCAGGCCACAGGTGCCCACCCCGACTTTGGCCCATCAGGTTAAGGGTGTTCCCTGACCCTCAGCTGCAGGAAAGTATTTCATTCCTGTCTCTACCAACAGGATGCAAGGTTGGACTGCTTGACTGTGTCTTCTACTGGTTTTCTTTGATTCTTTTGCCAGTCACAGACTAACACTTGGGATTTGTAACACTAGTTGAAATGGGAAGAGGCTGAAGGAAGGACACTTCTCCTCTCAGGGGCTTACTTAAGTACAACCTGCAAGTCAGACTTGGGTTTCATGCCAGTTTGGCACTTACGGGCATGAACTCCCAGCAAGCCTTTTTTGCTGCTGTATGAACGCTGCCTGCTGGACTTCCATCTTGCAAATGCTTGTCCACAGTCAAAACAGTCTCTGAGGGCATGGTATTGCCCTCTGCAGTTAATACAGCTACACTGAGTAATCAAATGTAACCAGGAAATGGCTCAAAGCAGAACTGAGTTGGCAAAAACCACTTTCTAATTTACACCAGGTCTGCATGAGGGCAGTAAGCAAAGGTTTCTGCCAAGGGCCAAAAACACTCAGTTACAACAATACATGAAACACTTGTATTAACAAATAAAAGGTAACAGCTAACTTGTCCTAACAAGTAGTGCTATGACTCAAGGCAGAGCTGCAATGTTAATGAAATTACTGTGGCTTGACAGAGAGGAGAGGATTCGGCTAATTAACAGGAATTACTACTCCTAATTTAGATCAACAGCTCACTGAGCAGGGATACTGTATAATTCCATTTTTAAAATAAATTGTTGGCTCCTAATAAGCACTAAACAGCAATAGAAAGCACTGAAGGATGACAGAATCAAGCACAATAAGGCAAGATAAGGTGCTATTAAAATCTACTCCACTAGGAATCCCTTTAAAGGAACAACCAAAGCAAATTCAATCGCGTACTTAAGTTTGGGGAACTACTGGACCTAAATGGGAGGGGGCAATAACACAAAACCTCTCGAGAATTGTTCTTAAGAAAGCCTATTTATTAGGGCATGGATGTGGAGGTAGGAGGCTGCAGTAGGTAAAATTTAGTAGCGGCATAAAGCGGTCCTGGAAGAAGCATCGGCTTCTGGATGAAGATGGTGGTTTGCACACTTCTGCTCTCTCCACAGACCCCTTTCAAAAAAGGAATAAACTCACAAGGGCTAACAGAACAGGAAGGAGATGAGAGAAGCCAAATTCTGGAAGCTGGAAAGCAGATGGATGAGTGTTAAAGGACTTAGCAGAAGCCCTAGAAAAGTCTCCTAAGCCAACAGTGGGAGAGCCGAGATTGGTCCCAATTTACATTTACAGAAGCCCCCAAATGTTCAGGAAGTGAGGGCTGATTGCAAGTCTCCTTGGGAAGCAGCCTGGTGCCCAAACCCCTCCCTGACTTCTCATTTGGCAACTGTCTCACCCTTCCTGGGGTAGAAGGTTGCTGGACTGAAGGCTGCAGGTCCAGTGGAGATGGGTCACCATGCTGAAGATGGGGGAATTAAGGGAATGCATGCATGCTGAATGCTGAGACGACCACCCACCCCAGCCCCCGGTGGGCTGGCAGGCCTACCTCCTTCCAGCAAGGACACTGGGGCGTCTCCTCTGGGCGTCAGAGATTCTTCACCTCAATGGCCCTCTCCGGTCATCCTATAGTGACATAGTCAACAAGCTCTAACTATGCTCTCAAAGCTCCTAATTAGCTTTTTAGGCTCCCACCTTTAAACATAAGCAGAAAACCAAGTATTATTAGACAGATATATGAGGAAAACTGCATACATGAAAGATAGAAATCAAAACAAATCGAAAAAAAGCAACTTGAAGGAAACAGAACAAGCAGGGGGAGGAGAATTAAAAACCAAAACAAACTGAAAGTTGCCACATACGCCACCTTTAATATCCCCAGACAGAGCGATCAGGAAAGATATCAAAGAAACAAGAACAGGATGCTATATAAAAAAAGACAATGTGGAACAAGAGATCTTAGAAATTGAAAACGAAAAGCAGAGAAAGCTGCTTGGATGGTGTGTTGGGAGCTGAGCGGGGAAGGCAGGCAACACGGGGAGGTGGCTCTGGATGCCTTTTAGCAGAGCAGGGGAGGAGAGAGCTGGGCAGTGCTCGGGGGCATCTGTAAAGGAGGGAGGAAGCTACGGAGGCTGAGCCATAGCGCTGTTGAGAGGCCAGAGGGCTGGAACCACAGGTCAGGAGGAGGCTCTGCCCCGAGGGTGTCAGGGGCAACCTGCTGGTGAACCAGGATTGATGAGGAGGGTGCAATTTTTATGCCCAGAGACCACTGTTTAATCCTAAACCCTGCTCCAATGTTTACAAGACAGCACTAGTCTAAAGGGTGCAGCCTGGATCTATGAGCATCCGCTGTGTACGGCCCCCTGTACTGCTATTGAGATGGAGACTGGTTTGCCTCTACCCATGCTCAGAATTCTGCCATTTTATTTATATTAGTGATGATAACTGTTCTTAAATAAGGCAGTTCTGGCAGCAACAAGACCAGCTGTTATGTTGTGATTAATGAATAATCAACTACAACAACAACAAAAATGTAAAAT